CTCGGACAACACGATGCCGCTACCATCGTCGGCGAAACCCGTGCGTGTGTGCGACACCTGCTACGCCGTCCTACTACGCCGATACAACGCCAAGACGTGAGCACGACAAGAGAGCATCCGTCGGCGTGACAAGAGAGCATCCGTCGGCGTGACAAGAGAGCATCCGTCGGCGTGACAAGAGAGCATCCGTCGGCGTTACAAGAGAGCATCCGTCGGCGTGACAAGAGAGCATCCGTCGGCGTGACAAGAGAGCATTCGTCGGTGCGACATGCGCGCGTCTTTCGGCGAACCTCCGAGCTTCACGCGTCACGTATGGCGCCACCGTTCTGTCGCGGGCGTGCTTCCTCCGTCGCTGATGTCGACACACAACCATATCGTCCCCAGTCCTCCATCAGTGCACGGGGAAACTGAACGAGGAAGATTCGCTAACGAGGACCGTCGTTAGAGAGAGGATGCAAGACCTTGTAGCATGACACCTCGATACCGCGATGACGTCACCGTAAAACAAGAGCGCAGGCATCTCTACGCGCGTACGCGCGTCTGGGAGAGGGACGCGGGATGGAGTACGGGGGTTGGTGATGCTAGGATGTAAATATAATGTACTATACGGTGATTTTCGAGGTGGGAACAGACAGATCGTGAGCAATGTATGGATTTGTCTGGTCAGCACCTAAAAACATAGTTTCAATTTTTTGGTGAATTTTGGTTACCGTTAACCGAGGTGAGTTTATTTCGGGCGTGTATATTATAATAATTTTTTTGCCCAACGCCGCCGTGGTGTGTATAGTGAATACAGGCGAGATTTTATTATTGTTGCTATATTGAATATGTTTTTTTAAACACCAAACAAATTTCCTTAGTTGTGCTACACCAGGGAAGGAGAATATGTTCAATTGATTAATTTTAATTTCAAACGTGGCCTTGGTTTGTAACATAAACGTATGGATAACCAAAATGCAGAACTTTGTGCAAAGTGCTTTTCAGTGTAATCTACTGTGTATATAAAGAGTGTACATGTCTATTGAACGCAAACATATCTTCTCTCAGCGTATGTGCACGCGTGCGTGTTGGCGTATGTGCACGCGTGCGTGCGTGCGTGCGTGTGTGCGTGTTGGCGTATGTGCATGCGTGTGTGCGTGGATGTGCGTGCGTGTGCGTGCGTGTGTGCGTGTTGGCGTATGTGCGTGCGTGCGTGTTGGCGTATGTGCACGTGTGCGTTGTTGTGCGTGCATGCGTGCGTGCGTGTTAGCGTGTGCGTGCATGGGTGCGTGTGTGTGTGTGTGCGTGTGCGTGCATGCGTGCGTGTTGGCGTATGTGCACGCGTGCGTGCATGCGTGTTGGCGTGGATGTGCACGCGTGCGTGTTGGCGTATGTGCACTCGCGCGTGCGTGCGTGCATGTTGACAATTTCATTGCGGTCATTGCCTGCTGTATGGAAGGTTTTTGCTGAGCATTGCTAGAGCGATGATGATGGACGAATGACATTGGTGGGAACGATGCAAGACGAAGTGCACTGAAATCTCTGTGTTTGCTGTTGTTAAAGAGTTATGTATAATATGTTGACTCGTATTACACGACAAATTGTTCCAGTAAAAGAACATATATATATATATATATATCGTATTTTAAACTCCGTATTGGCATTCTATGCTTTCTGCATTTTCGAACAATATTTGGTGTAATAAATAACTGCTATATATATATATCTGTGTGTGTGTATGTGTGTTGTATGTGGCTTTATATCAGGAGTGTATCAATATTGATACACTCCTGTTTATATCATAGTGCATAGCAAACTCTACCACTCTTTCGCTGGAGGCGCCACCGTCCAATGCCATTTTATGCATTGAATTGAATTGTTTTTCTTTCTTGAACGGACCCTCTCGGGGCACGGAAGAAATACATTGTTACATAATAAACATAGGAATCATGTTTTGCAACATTTGCCAAACAATTAAATAAATGGCAAGTTTTAACAAATAATTATAGCACCCGGTGTGACCTGACACCATAGATACTTTACGTACATATTACGGTGCCTATAAGCGCTGCCATTGGATGGTAACGCCGCTAGTTCCAAAATATACCGCTCACTTGTGTTGGCGGCGCCACCGTCCAATGGCATTTTATGCATTGGATTGAATTGATTTTATTTCTTCCATGCCCCTCTCGGGGCACAAAAAAAATACATTGTTACATAATAAATATAGGAATCATGTTTGGCAACATTTAACAAACAATTAAATAAATGGCAAGTTTTAACAAATAATCATAGCACCCTGTGTGACCTGACACCATAGATACTTTACGTACATATTACGGTGCATATAAGCGCTGCCATTGGATGGTAACGCCGCTAGTTCCAAAATATACCGCTCTCTATGCTGGCGACGCCACCGTCCAATAGCATTTTATGCATTGGATTGAATTGATTTTATTTCTTTCATGCCTCTCTCGGGGCACGGAAGAAATACATTGTTACATGATAAATATAGGAATCATGTTTGGCAGCATTTCACAAACAATTAAATAAATGGCAAGTTTTAACAAATAATTATAGCACCCGGTGTAACCTGACACCATAGATACTTTACGTACATATTACGGTGCATATAAGTAGTGCCATTGGATAGTAACGCCGC